AATAAGTTCTGATTTTGAAGCAAGTTGTTGCTCTGATCCTCCATCAGCTGCCTGCAGAACCGAGGGAGGCAAAATGAAAAATAAAAAACTGTATACATTATTTTCCTAAAAAAATAAAACCACCGCATGCATCAAAGCAAAGCTCGGTGCTCCTGCGTGCTGAGCTCGTGCTGACTGACTGTAGCTCACATGCAGCTTCTGCAGGTGTCAGTATGACTGTAGCCAGTAGGAGGGACTTGATGCTCCAACTTCTCGTTTCTGCGTCTCTCTGCTCTCTCCAGCCAGTCGGTCCTGGTCCTGCTCGGAGAGAGGCGACGCCGGGCTTCAGCAGCACCGCATTCCGGGGAGGCACGATGCATCTGAGGCTGAAAGCACGACCGGGAGCTGCTTCTTCTACGCTTTTCTGTTTTTGATTGACGCTTTTTTTCCTCTTTCTTTTTTAAAAATATTTTTTTATTACATCTTGGCTTTTTCCTTCCTACCCCACCTCTCCTTCCCCCATTTCCCACCCCCACCCCCCTTTCCACCCAATCTCTGACGCGCAAGGACACTACAGCATCCATCCATCCACGGCAGGGACGCTCACAGAGCATCCTCTGTACCAGGCGCACCAGCCATCCTCCTTTCCTTTTCTCCTTTCCTTTCCTCCCACTCTCCTCCTCTCTTGATCTATTCGGAACCCGGAGAACATCGGGAGCCCTTCTATTTCCTCCCCCCCTCTTCCTCCTCCTCCACCTCCTCCTCCTTATACTCCTCTCCATCACCCCACTTTTTGCCCGGAGACATGGATCTATGGTTTCACTCGATCCGGATTTGCTGGTGGAGGGTTTTGTTCCTGATGAGTGTTTTCCAGGACTACCTGAGCTCCATGCTGGACTGCCCACCGACCTGCAGCTGCTCCCAGACAGAGATCTATTGCAATAAGTCCGACAATGGCCGCTTTTTCCCTCTGCTCGCGCTGCAAGACACCGGGAGCAACGGGACGAACGTGGATATCGCGGACTTGTTCAAAAACATCAGCTCGATGTAAGTAGCTGCGGATTATGCTGCGCGTTTTCTCACTCTTTCATTGATTCACCCGCTCTCACCCCCCCCCCCTTGTCTGTTGCTTCCTGTGTTCTGATGTGACTTGTTGGTCTCTGCGTGGTTTTATTCTGACACTTTGGACACTTCTAGCCTTCTGAGCATCTTTCTTTTAATCCATCCAAAAACGCGCGCGCCGTGTCTCCATATGCGTAATGGAGACGCATCTAACCCATAGAGTGAAACCGTTTAAATCGGGGACCTTGGCACTGGTGTCGTTTTTTTTTTTCTTTTTCTGTGCGTCTACATAAAGTTGTCTGTCCTCCTCCTCCTCCTCTTCCTCCTCCTCCTCCGCAGCATCAGCACCGCAGGCCTCTAACACGGTGTTGCAGAGAGAAGCTCCCGTCCCCTCATCCACCACGCAGAGACTGAATTTGCT